CAAGGTAGGAGACGCAGATCATGAAAACACTCATACAGCATGAATCTCTCCCTGGTCCTGATGAACCAGGGGTTGTCTGCGGGATTTAGAGGCATCTTGGGCTGCCACCTTTGTGGAGTTAAACGGAGAGAAAAATGCCTGGGGAGCTCAGAGTAGGAATTCCACCAGGTGACAGCTGGTCACCCCATCCAGAGGCCCTGGTGAGAGCCAAACACCGAGTAAGAGGGGTTCACTGTGTTGGGCACTTTATGACCAGGAATTGGAAACTGCTGGCTGCATCTGGAAAGAAACCAGGTTAGTACAGAGAGCGGCTGCCTCCCATCCTACCCTGGGGCAGAGGGCAGCAGGCCCTGATCCCACTGCAGGGCAGAGAGCAAGGGCTCAGCAGGGGTCCCTGCACTGTGTGACCCCCGCAGGGCAGCAGCAGCGGACAATGTCCTATTTGGTATTTTGCAGGGCAACACTGTTTTATTTGCAGCCTTTGTGCCCAAAGGAGTGTGGCCAGATTTTAACCCTTTGATGGCTGGGCCCAACATTCTGGGTTCTCAGCTGCTTTTTAGATCAAAGAAAGGAGCAGCCCCATTTGTCTTTGCTGTGAGCCTTGAGCCTGCTCAGTCCACAGGGACAAACAGGAAAACGGCCTGTTCTGTGGCATTTAGTCAAAAGCGATAGTGGTGGTGGATGGTGTCTTACTCGCTCCCCTGAGTAGCAAGAGGTCAGAATTCAATGTGTACATGGCCTGACCCATCCATGCCTGGGCTCATTTCTTCCTCAAATTTGGATTTCTGTTGGCTTGTGTGAGCACAGTAAAATCGATGTTTCCTGAAATTGACCAATATAATATTAATCCTTCAGCCCTGCCAATAAACACATAGGAATGCAAACAGAAGTTCTACATACACACTAAAATGCTAGGGTCTGGGGTGAGAGGTTACCTTTTGTTTTTCAATGGGATCAGGAAGCCACACGTCAAATAAATTAGTCCTGGGTTTTGTGATGAGACCGCAGGGCTTGTGGCTGTGCTTTAGCTCTGCTGCTTGCAGCTGGCTACTGAACAGTGTCTTATTCTGATTAGTCCCATCTTTAGTGCTGAAAATCATCCCTGATGATTGATAGCAGCTTGTGTGTTAACGTTTGGTCATGGAGGAGAAGACGATAACAGAGAGCCCAGTCCATGCAGAACTTTGAACACCAAGGCCAGGTCCTCGGAGTAGGTCTTGGAGGAGGAGATGGTAGAATCATAGAATACTAGGACTGGAAGGGACCTCGAGAGTTCATCGAGTCCAGTCCCCATACTGTCTAGACTATCCCTGATAGACATTTATCTAACCTACTCTTAAATATCTCCCGAGATGGGAAACTCCACAACCTCCCTGGGCAATTTATTCCACTGTTTGACTACCCTGACAGTTAGGAACTTTTCCTAATGTCCAACCTAAACCTCCTTTGCTGCAGTTTAAGCCCATTGCTTCTTGTTGTATTCTGGGGGCCAAGATGAACAAGTTTTCTCCCTGCTCCTTATGACACCCTTTTGGATACCTGAAAACAGCTATCATGTCCCCCTCCAATATTCTCTTTTCTAAACTAAACAAACCCAGTTCTTTCAGCCTTCCTTCATAGGTCATGTTCTCTAGACCTTTAATAATTCCTGTTGCCCTTCTCTGGACCCTCTCCAATTTCTCCAAATCCTTCTTGAAATGCGGTGCCCAGAACGGGACACAATACTCCAACTGAGGCCTAACTAGCGCAGAGTAGAGTGGAAGAATGACTTCTCGTGTCTTGCTCACACCACAGCTGTTAATGCATCCCAGAATCACGTTAGCTTTTTTTGCAACAGCATCACACTGCTGATTCATATTCAGCTTGTGATCCACTATTACCCCTAGATCCCTTTCTGCCGTACTCCTTCCTAGACAGTCGCTTCCCATTCTGTATGTGTGAATAGTAGAAGGAGCGCTCAGGTTTTAATGCTCATTTCTCATCCATCAGAAAGATTCTGGGTCACAATGGCAGATCACTGTTGCAGACTGGAAGCAGCAGGAAGAGTGCAGCAGCATAGCCCTGTGTGTCAACCAGTTGGTGCCATTCAATTGAAGAATTGTCACCCTCACAGGGCAGAGAGTGACGGGGCCTCTAGGCTGGCGGGTGACACACCGGGTGGAGTTCAACCACTAATCCCCCCACGCTACAGCAAGTTGTTCACACTGTGACATTTCTCTATAACAGTGAAACCTGGGATGTGCCCACCGGATGACACGGTATGCGTTCTACAAGGACAGGATGAGTGTAAGAGGGACTTTGAGTGCAGAGGAGAACAGAAGTGCTGTTATAACGCTTGTGCCATGCGCTGTATAGACGTAGTACCAGGTACGTACCACAGCTAATGCAGCGCATACAATCTCCTGCAGAAGGAAATCTCTCCCCACTGCCAATGAGCCAGGATTGTCTGCAGAATTCAGAGACATCTTAGGCAGAAACCGTTGGGAATTCAGAGGACAGAAAAATGCCTGGGGAGCTGAGAGGAGGAATTCCACCAGGTGACAGCTGGTCCCCCCATCCAGGGACCTTGGTGAGAGTTGGGGTTGGTCCTGCTTTGGGCAGAGGGCTAGGCTTGATGGCCTCCTGGGGTCTCTTCCGGCTTCTATGATTCTATGAGAGCCAGACACTGAGTGAGAAGGGCTGGCTGGGTTGGGCACTATTATGAGCCGGAGTTGGAAGCTCCTTCTGGAGAAGCAGAGAGAGGGTACAGCTGGTCCGACCCAGCTCCTGAGGTGACAGTTGCACTCCAGTAACAGAGACACAGCTGTGTCCTTATGAGGGTGAAAGTTCATGGGTTGCACAGAGTTAAATAACATCCCCAGGTACCTGGGGACTGGGGTTAAATGTGTGTGACAGGGGCTCACTCCAGCCCTGCCTGGACCCGTTTCCCCCATGACCTCATCTCCAGGCAGCAAGTCTCCAGTCACAGGAGAGCTCAGCACTCGGGGTCCTACAGGGCGTGGCTCCCTGTCGACCATGGACAGCTCTATGAGAACAACAAGGGAACATGACGCGACTGAGCCTGTGCAATGCCGAGAAGGGGCCTAGCGCGGAGGGAACATTGCTTGAAATGCTTCAGCAGCATGCGAACGTCAGGCTGGTGCAGAAAGGGCCACAGGATGGAGGCGGCTGTCCCAGGCTGCAGCTCCACAGTGTAAAACTCCCCTTGCAGCATGGCAGGGTTTGGAGGGGGAGAGCAGGAGAACCAAGAACAGTCGGGGCAGACCCGAGAACCTGACTGTGACATGGAGAAGGCCAGGGCAGAACGCTGACAGGCCCCCAAGCACCACCACCTCCCTCCCAGCTCCACCCCTGGGAGTGCTTAAATCCCAGCTAGCTCTGCCTGGGGCAGTGATACCCAACTCTCCAGCAGCACCGTGCAGGTAGTGGGAGTCCTTCTCCATATGGGCTCCTCATGCTTCGGACGGAGCTGCCAGCTGTATCTCAGCAGAAGTGAGATTAGTACAGAGACCGTCTGCCTCCCATCCTACCCTGAGGCAGAGGGCAGCAGGCCCTGATCCCACTGCAGGGCAGAGAGCAGGGGCTCAGCAGGGGTCCCTGCACTGTGTGACCCCCGCAGGGCAGCAGCTAAAGGTGTCCCATTTGGAAACTTCCCTTATTTGCCGCCTTTGTGCCCAAAGGTCAGGTCTGACCTGTGAATCAGGATTTAAGACAGATTTTAACCCTTTGAATGCTGCACCGAATGCTCTGGGTTCACAGTTGGGTTTTAGACCCTGGAAAGAAGCAGCCCCATCCCCATTTGTCTTTGCTGAGACTCCTGAGCCCTGCTCACTCCACAGGGACAGAGAGGAAAACCTCCTGTTCTGTTGCATTTAGTCTAAACTGATGGTGGTGGATGGTGTCTAATGAACTCCCTAGAGCAGCAAGAGGCTGGAATTCAATGTGTCCATGGCCTGACATATCCCTGCCTGGGCTCATTGCTTCCCTAAGTTCGGATTTCCAGTAAGGAAGGGGATTTTTTTTTTTTTTGGTGGTGATAACAGTTTGTGAATTAACATTTGGTCATGGAGGAGGAGACAGTAACTGAGGGTGCCCAGTTCATACAGAGCTTTGAAGATCAAGGCCAGAACCTTGGAGTAGGTCTTGGAGGAGGAGGTGTAGGAGGAGCGCTCAGGTTTTGATGCTCATTTATCGTCCATTGCAAAGGACGGGGGTTACAATGGCCCATCACTGTTGCAGACTGGAAGCACCATAGCCCTGTGTGCCATTCAGTTTGAGAATTCTGACCCTGATAGGGCAGTGAGCGACAGGGCCTCCAGGGTGCCGGGTGACACACCGGGTGGAGTTCAACCACTAATCCCCCCACGCTATGGCAGGTTGTTTACACTGTGACATCTTTCTGTGACAGTGAAACCTGGAAGCTGCCCACCAAATGATGTAATATGCATTCAGTCAGAACCTGATCAGTGTGCTAGGGATTCTGACTGCATAGGAAAACAGAAGTGCTGTTTTTATGCTTGTTCCATGCAATGTAAGGATGCAATAGGAGGTATGTAACACAGGTAGTGCAGCGCACACTGTCTCCTGCAGAAGGACTCTCCCCACTCCTGATGAGCCAGAGGAGACTCATCTTCCCCATGCAGGATTCAGAGCCATCTTGAGCAGGCACCTTTTGGTGAGGTCAGCAGGCAGAAAAATGCCTGGGGAGCTCAGAATGGGAATTCCACCAGGTGACAGCTGGTCACCCCATCCAGAGGCCTTGGTGAGAGCCAGGCACTGAGTGAGAGGGGCTGGCTGGTTTGAGTGGGCAGATGAGCAGCAGTTGGAAGCTCTTCCCGGAGCAAAAGAGGGTACAGCTGGACAGACCCAGTCCCTGAGAATACAGTTTCAACCTCCTAAGGATGCAGCTGTGTCTCTGTCACTCATGGCTGCTGTAGAATTAAATAACTCCCCTAGGTACCTGGAGGCTGAGGTTAAAGGTGTGCGTGGGGGCTCACTCCAGTTATTCCTGGCTTTCTCCACTCCCCTCATCTCCAATTGGCAGGTCTTCAGTCACTGAACTGCTCAGCACTCAGAGGCCCTGTTCTGGGCTTCCAGTGGGTTCAGCATACCCCAGAATGGGATGGGGGAGGTGAGGATGAGGGGAGGGGGTAGTTCTGTGCCATTTTTTGTTCCTCCTGGATTCTACACAGAGGATTGGATCCAGCATGTGCAAGAGAGGCCTATAAGGAGCCGTGTCAGCAGCACAGGGCAGGCAGGAATGGCATTCAATTTGCCTGCCCTGTATCCAGCCATGCCTAGGCCAGCAGCTGCAAAGAAGGCTGCATAAAACCACTCTGGTATTTGGCCCTGTATCAGAGGAGCAATTACCCGCTATGTAGATCACTGGCCGTGTGCACCTGTGCACTCACACACCTGGCACAGACGAGCCGAGAACAAAAACCTGGGTGTTTTACCAGGGACTTGCCAAGTAAGGAGGAGTATTACTGAGCACAGGCCAGTGCTGCCCCAGGGAGGGAATCACAGCTCTGAGCACAGACACAGAGCACTGCATGAGAGAGGGGGCTGGAGGGCCCTGCCAGGGGGGCAACGGGAAACCTCCTTGCCTGTGAATTCTGAGGGAGTGGGATCCTGAGGACGCATGCAGCAGGCTCTGCGTGTGGGCCGGGCTCTTTCTGTAGGAGCTCAGCTCTCCAGTACATACGGAATGAGGCAGAGCTGTCCAGACCGCAGGGGCACAGAGCCCAGGCTGTCCTCAGCCACGTACATTGCACAGGCTGTCAGGATACGGGCAGCTGCTGGATGCACCAAGCATGGGCCAGGCCCTGCACAAGACACAGTCCTATAGTGCTGAGAGCTTAGGAGAGCCTGAGACCCCAGCCAGGCCTGGAGCTGGGCCCTGCTGGCTTGCTGCCAAGCTGGGCCCAGGGCAGCTGAGTTTGTACCGAGCTCAATTTTCTCATGATGTCTCTTATGTTTTCATATTTCCAGTGTAACTCCCTGCTGCATGGACAGGCCAAGGGCACCACGAGACCAGTGCTGACTCTAATACCTGAGTCTTGGGCTATCCAGATCCCTGCAGGCTGTATCCCGAGGTTCCCATCCAGCCTCCCACATGGTTACAAATAAACTCATTTATGCCTCAGTTTATGGCTTTACTTGTGGTTCTCTGTTGAACAATCTACTAATAATGAATGAGGGAAGGGCAAGAGCCAAGGGTTGGGGGCCGGGAGGTACATGAGGAAGTGAACATGGTTGATTATTTCAGCTGTGGAGCCAATTTTTGTAGCAATGAGGCCAAACGTTCTTGTTCCTGCCAAAGAAACATTTTCTGATCGTAACTCAAAGGGCATTTGTTAAGGGGTGTGAGACAGGAGTTTTGTTTGGATCTAAACGGTCCTGATCAAAATATCTTGTAGTACCAGTGATACACAGGGCCCTATCAAAAATCAAGGAGCCACCAAAAACAAAGCCTATTAACTAAGAGCAGTATCATTTGGGATCTATCTCCAGAAATTCACTTAAATTAAGACAGATGTGTACACACACTCTCTCTCTCTCTCTCTCAGCTGGTAGATACAAAGCAGTTCTAGGAGGCATCCGGCCATATCTATCCTTACAGAAGAAGCAGGTTTGCTTCCTGGTGTCCACAGAAAAGTAAAACCACTGAGCTGCTTGCCTGTGCTGTGAAAGGGGAGCGCTTCCCGGGACTTTCCCCACATTTCTGGCACTTTCCGAAGTTCCTGAGGTTAGACACCGAGCTGAGCATAGTCTGCAAAAGTCCAAGTCCTGTTGTGCTCAAGGGCCTCTCACATCTCCATGGAAAGAGCTGCAGAGCTCAGCAAAGCTCAGGGGAGCTGGAGCCCTGCAGAAGCCACAGTCACATATTGGCTTCCCTTCCGATTTCCTGTGTCAGCTGCAGCATCCTTCAACCCTCCCACTGTAAGAAAAGGCTGAAAATCCTCCTGAGATTGACCCCTCAGCCCGTCACAAACACACAGACACATTCACTGCCCTACACCGCAGCCCCTGCTGGGTCCAAGAAAGAACCAAACTCCCCTCCCCACGATTTAATGAAATGTGGGACATGGCCCCAAGGTTCACATGACCCTGAAGTCACACACACACGGTGAGGAGCAGAACCAACTTCTGCTGCCAGCCATTGGAGTTTTTACCCAGGACATCATAGCTGCTCCCCTAAAAGGGCAGGATTGAGGAGGGTAATCTAGAGCATGCTGACTTCGCCCCCGCTGCCTCCTGTCTGTCCATCCCCTCTGTGAGCAAAATAAAAAGTTCCTTATTTAAAAAGAGAAAGAGAGATGGACAGACAGACAGTGCTCATGTTACTCAGGAACAAGAACCCTAGT